ACTGTTCTTCCAATGATATAATTAATAGAGAACAGAAAGGGGTGCAAGGATCAACTTTTGCTGTGCCAGTCCTTTCCCATTCCTTTGGAGTAGTTGATTGGGCTAAACAAGATATCCAGAGTCTTGACCGCCTGACCAGAAGGATCATGTCTGATAACAGAGCCCACCATCCTCGTTCCTCTCTTAATCGTTTATATATGCCAATCAATTCGGGACGCTGGGGTTTGATTAATGTGGAGGCTCTTCATGACAGAATTTTATTGTGTACTTTTACACGTCATATTTATTTATCAGATGATCACCAAGTGATGCATGTCAAGACCCATGATGAAAGGTTAATTTTTTATGGTGATTTACTGCTGGACGGTACAGCGATGGGAGTAAACCAGGTGAAGTCCTTCACCAAGTCTGCCCAGAGTCGTCATTTGTCAACTTTCTGAGAAACCATTTCATCGTGTGTACATGCAGTGTGTGGAACAGAACAGTAATCCAACCGACTCCTTCGCCTAAATGAAGTCGACTGGTCTTAATTATGAAACTGAGAGCTTCCTTTTTGCCTCTCAGGACCAGTCATTTCCCGCTCGAAATCGCCAAAATGTGATTCTTAAACAAAATATCAATATAAAATGTCGACTTTGCAATAACTTTACAGAGACTGTCCAACACCTTGTCAGTGGATGCCCTTCCTTGGCACAAACAGCATATCTTAAAAGACATGATGCTTCTACTGCCGTTTTCGCAATGCCTGTGACTTTGGCTCTGAGGTCCATCCATGGTACGACCCTGAACATGTCCAGCGCGTCATGGAAAATGATGCTTTTAAACCTCTTTGGAACAGGCCCATATGCAGTCTCAGAAGAATTCATGACAACAAACCTGATCTTGTCCTTTTGATAAAGCCAATGAATTTATTTATGTTATTGAATTTTCTGTTCCTTTGACAGCAACGTGATTGGAAATATTCACCAAAAGCATGCTAAATATGCGGATCTCGCCTTTGAAATATCTCGCTTGCATCCCAAGTACACCGTTGTTAGGCTGCCCATTGTTTTCGGTGCCCTTGGTTTGGTACCTCCTGATCTCTTGGCGCAGATCAGGAGATTGCCCAGGTTCTCCATTGGAAGCACAGCCCTTCTGACACTCTGGGTAATGCAGGAGGCTGCAATGTTGGTGAGTCTACATATTCTCCGGACAGTTCTTGGCGGTTTCGACAAGGCAGCGTTTCCTGGGAGAAGTCCCATTCGCTGCGGTAGAGGGAGCCTGTGGGGTGCTAGAAGGTTAGTGGTTACATGAGGCACCCATTTTCTGCTGGGTGAACAGGGGCAATTTTGAACAAACTTATTTGCCTAAAGTGAGGCCACATCACATGTATCACGTGTGCTTCGTTGTGGGGCAGGACTGAAGTCCTAGAAACTCTCACGAGTCAGGCTGCCAAACACGGTTACCAAGTGTACTTGGTAGAACACCCTGTTGAGCAAACCCACGATTTTTTACAAGTGCAGTTTGTGCACGTGCCGTGTCGTGTCGGTATTTAATATGCATGGGTTACAATGTTCAATCACCATTCTGCCACTGGATATAATCAAATGACCAGCGATGACTAATTATTGATATGCATATTGGTATGTCATTTAAAGCAACTGGTCGGGAAGTCCACTACACAATTGCTAGTCGTTAGGTCAGAAAATGCAGAGAAACCAATGAGGTGATGGATCGTCAACGTTCTCGCCAAGGTGCAGCGTTCGAAATTAACCTCGGTCCTGAAAAGCACTTGGACCCACAGCTTTTTTTTCTGCACGCCCTTAATGGCCCTCGGCTTTTTCAGCCCCAATAACTAAGAATATTATTTTTCAGAAGATATCATTCAATAATTTCTAGATATTATCTCGATCGGCAGCTGATAAGATAATGGTAGACAACATAGGGTGGCGTTGATTGGTTTGACATCGTGGTTCCTGTTAGTCTACTGTCAGAATGTGCTGGTTTCTAGATTGCTAGCCCCGAAAAAGAAATCTAAGCAGACTAAAGAAGATGCCCCGACGCCCTGACTCCAGTGTTGCCCCATGCTGTGGAAGCTGCCGAGGAGTCTGATATCAAACCAAAAAAAACCCCCCAAAACACACAAAAAACAACACACAGCACATGCAACACAATTTCATGAAGTACATTCGTTATACAGACAGTATGATCGTCATTAATTTTACACAAGCCTTTATCTTCGTACTTTGTGTGCACTTTGTACGATTTCATCGTTGTTGCCAATCCGTTATGCATGCGTGAGTGAGTGAGTATTTAGCACTATTCCAGCAATATCACGGCGGGAGACACTAGAAATAGGCTTCACACATTGTGCCGATATGGGGAATCGAACCCGGGTCTTCGGTGTGACGTGCGAATGCTTTAACCACTTGGCTACCCCACCGCCCCACTGGTAGGACAGGATAGTCAATACGTTATATATTTCCGTTCATTAAATATTTAGTATTAGAGGCAGATACCTCAGATATAATAGAACAGATACAAGTGGCGTTCAATACATTTTGCAACTTGGGCATTTGTGCTTACACAAATTATGTCAAGTTGTGGCAGGTGTGACACTAGTCATTACATCAGACTGACACGCGTCATAACAAGTTCAAACCGAAACATGATTCTCATGAATCAATTCAGACAATGACCTACGTTTCAGCCTGGGCAATCTTATGCCAATTTAATGAAATGGAATGATTTGCAAAACTCTATTCGCCAGAAACGCCGTGGGATGTTAATACGTGGTGTTCTACTTTCGCTTGACAATGCTTCGGTTCACAAGTCGAGGATTGCACAGGCCGTCATACGTGCATGTGGATTCGAACAGTTAAATCAAACACCCTACAGCCACGATCTAGCCCCCAGTGACTATTTCCTGTTCCGGCAAATGAAATCTGCCCTAAGTGGCAGATGCATCCACGGAGAACACAAAGAACACAGGGAAAACAAAGGCTGCCTCAGAGGCGTGGTTAGAGGTTAGATTTCTATAAAAGTGGTATTAATAGCGGGAAGGACAAATGGAATAAGTATACTGAGGTGAATGGAGATTATGTTGAAAAATAAAAGTGCAAAAGAAATTCTGGGACTTGGTCTTATATTGAAGTTGCAAAATATATTGATTACCCCTCGTATAATAAATGTCCTGACTTGGATCATCTGTGATATAACATATGCCACACCAGAGTGGAGTTTAGGTGAGATCTAAACCTACCAATAGATTTTGTTTACACCAGGGTTGTGTTTAGGCTATTTGAGATCTAAACCTACCGATAGATTGTGTTTACACCTTATCATTCTGCTCACGAAATAAATGTGTATACATTGTATTGCTGAGATATAATAACTTTGTTTTCGTCCATTACGTTATTCAAGCGTTTGATTGTTGCGTGTTCTATTATTCCAACTTAAATTGATGCGTACTTAAGAGTTTTCCTTCTTGACAGCCGTATGTGAGGCATAAAGTGATATTTCAATTACAAACAAAGAAAACAAAACATAAATCAAATTTATGGTGTTTATCTGCCATCTACGCCTGCTAAGAGACGTCTTTACACGCGAACAACAATAGACCAAATATAAACACGACGAGTGATAGAATTTGAGACACCCCGGATTATCTCGGGTATGTGGATGATTACATACACGTCTGTCATTGACTGCTGACTGGCCCTTCGCCAGTATCCGTAAAATATTGTCTTTGACTTTAACAATGTCCTTCAAGCACTTATTAGATATTGTGTGTTGGGATTCCCAAGCGTAGCGCTGTGTTGTGATTGGCTAGCACATACTTCCTGGTTCGATTGTTTACATCACTACGCAGCTGTTGCTATGTCGGCTTTGAAATGATTACTCGCGGAGACTTATCTGGTCATCGAGGTTGTTGTATCATGTAAATACTCTATGTATTAACTCCTGATATAATCTTTTGTTCATGCACGTGTTCATTCACGTGTTTATACACGTGTCCCAGATACCTCGTCCATGGTAATTGTTTTCACGTAAATACTTGAAATAAATACACAGGATTAATATATTGCACAACGTATACACTTACTGTGTAAATATTACAACGTATTACAAACACTTATGATATTAAATCTACTCATGCCAATAATGGTTGTCACCCCCTCCCAACCCCAACCCCACACACATCTCACAACCCCTCTCCAATTCAACCTCTCGTTTGATTTATATGTTTGTTTTTCAATTGAAAATAGACCATGTAAATAATTTTATATCTGCACGAACCTGTAATAAAAAACTGCGCTCAGCCAGCACTCCAAGATATGTGGATGTATTTCTAAAACACATTTTTGTATGCTACTTATAACATTAATAGTATAAATGTTTGCTCAAATACATAATAGCTGACGGACATCTTTATACACATCTAGTCTTTGATAATCAATAAATCTGCTTGTGGTGGAATATATTAGCAACATTTCAAACATGTCATGGAATTGCAGTCTCATTTTATATCTCAATCTGCATTGAAACAAAACAAGGTTTACGTAGAATTTCCCGTCATCGCTTACGTTTCATTGACAGCTGCAGGAATGGATGATCCACAAATAGTTAATGCTAAAACCTGGTGACAGTTCTTTCAATTTTATATTACACTGAAACACAACTAGTTATACTTTACTTAGCTCTCAGTCTTTATGTATCAAACCAAAAGTGTAAAACTGAAACTATTTGCTTACATGACACAACAAGAGAGTGACCAGAGACAGATGGACATGTGGTGTACAACGTTACTTCAAAAATCAAATGTTACTTCTGAACTCAGTCCATTTCTGAGACTGTACAAATTCAAGCAATTCTTTTGACTTTTTGAGAATCCACATGTTATTTAATACGCTTGTCTCAAACACTTTCTGTGAACATTGCGAACATTCCACGATGGTATTGAGGATTATGTATAATCTTTGAGACGGGCAGAAAATAGTAAACGCCGATATCTGAATGAATTTTGTATTATTTATTACATTCACTCTTGTCAATGATCACAAGTAAACGGCCCTATGGCATCATAATCATAATCACAATCTCATATTCACAAAGAGTACCATAGATATGAATAATTATATAAACGGCAAAACAATTTCCATAAAAAACATCTCAACTACAAGTAGAGTCCGTTGCACTATTCCGGCTACTTCAGAAGCATGTGTGTAAATTGAGACAATAGATTTCGTTGATAAGAAACGACCATGACCTGTGCTTGTTATCAGCGTATTTTCATTACCGGACAGTTTTAGCAAATGCCTATGTTTAACTCGAAGGCTGAATGTGACCATCCGTCACCGTAAGGGACCGTTCATAATTTATGGCTAGTGTGTGTGTGCGTGCGTGTCCGTGCGTGCGTGCGTGATGGTTTTAAGGGGGTCGCCCATTTATTCTGGGAAGGTAGTGTGTGGGGGGGTGAGGTCATCAATTTTATACACATATACTAGGGGGGGTCAGCAATTGTGTACATACACGCCCTAACTATAAATTATGAACGGTCCCTATTATGGAGAGCAAGTCCATTATCTCCTCAATATTCTTCACGCGCCATTGAGGTCTCTAAATTATATGCCAAGGGACATCATGACTCACTTTGCTTTTCCAGGAAATCTACATCTGACAGTGCAACTGGACTTTACTGGGCCTACCACGTTTGGGCAAGAAGCCAGAGCTATCCAGATGATAATAACAATGTTTGAAAGTCCGTTTTCTATCAACATCGAATGTTGACATTAGCAGGTACACACAGATCGGTGTGTTTCAGACATGCAGTGTTAAAATCCGAATTCTTCAGTGATGAGATATACTGTTCTTTTACGGCACTGACGTCATCACAAGAATCCGGACTGCCGAGGATGCCACCAGACGCACCGATGGGGTCAGCCTTATCTGCGTATAAATTCATACATTGACGTTTTTACAATATATCAATTCCAATTACAAAAATAGTTCACGTTCACAGATACCGATATACATCATAATATTTATAGCCACATACCAACATCATGATAGAGATACAACCCCGTTGGAATGTAGCTCATACCCGTGAAGGTCCGGGTTAGAATATTGATCTACAGTAACCCATGCTTGTCGTAAGAGGCGACTAACGGGATCGGGTGGTCAGGCTCGCTGACATGGTTGACACATGTCATCGGTTCCCAATTGCGCAGATCGATGCTCATGATGTTGATCACGGGATTGTTTGGTCCAGGTAAAAATTGTAGATGTTCCATATGTCTGAGTAAAATCACCATATTTGGTCTGGTTAAATCCATTTTGGGCTGGTAACATTTTGAAGTTACCAGCCCTGATGTCTGGCTGGGTTTTGGGGCTTATTTCATACACTGCTTTATGGCTCTTTTAGCAATATCATACAGTATTAAAATATCACAACGCGAACAAACAAACTGTTTCTCAAAGTGTAGTGACGTAGAGAATAGAACTGGGTGACTAGCGAACTCTCAGTAAACAAAGCTACCACACATCTTGGTGCAAAATTTCGTACAATGAACGTGCTTCACCACTGTTCAAATACAAATGAAACAAATACTCAAACTCATTAATAATTATATTTTTTCAAAATATAAATGTCTTACCTTCACACTGGATCATTCCTGGGTTTGAAGACCAGGTTCCGCCTGCTCCACATGCATACCATTGGCTGCCATCAATGTCACGTGGTAGGGTTCGGTTCGCCAGGCAGCCAATCAAACAATATTGTCCAAAGTCTGGTCGCCAACCGTTACAGGCCACGTAACCAAATTCGGGGACAGACAGGTTATCGCATGGAAAAGCTGTAAAAGAAAATAGGGAAATTTGAAATTAAGCACACGTCCTCTTAATGAAGATACGTTAAATATAGTATGACCAGAAATTATTCAGAATTTTAGGAATATGTTTAATTGGATTTCTAGTATAAACAACCTTGACCAGCTATTAAGTGATTGGTTTCATTCAAGAGAGACAACTCCGTTAATCATTTTTAATTAGTTTGTGAAGAGTTATCACCCTTTGTTTACTTGCTAGCAGACGACATTTTCAGTGATCCTCAGTATGGATGATTTAGAGAAGAGGAAATTGATTTTAGAGTATTATAACAAGGTCATCAGATCGGCCAAAGTGATTTCAAGTAGAACAGGCATCCCTTTGTCCACTGTTTATCGTGTTTTGAAAAATATTGCAAATAGATATGGCATTGAACACCAATGAGGCGCAGGTAGGCCCAGAAAATTGACTGTCGGTGACAGGAGGCGGCTTGCTATTCTTGTTCCTAAAAACAAACGAAGGAGTTTAGAAAACTTAAGGCTGGATATGATTGATAGAGGAACTGTGGCTGTCTGTAAGGAGACAATTCGAACTGAGCTGCATGCAATGGGTTGGCAGAAAAGTCACCGATCGCGATCATGAAACCTGAACAAAGGAGCGAAGGTTGAACTGGTGCTTACAGCATAGAAATATTAACTGGGACAATGTGATTTTCTCAGATGAAAGTTCTGTGTGGCTGTTTCCTAATACACTGAAATTCTGGACCAAACAAACTGAAAAACCTTTGTATCAGCGCCCAAAGTGCAGTCGAGGACATCGTTCAAAGCATTCACAGGCCTGGTTTCGGACCCAAAATATGACATTATTAGATTGGCCAAACTATAGCCCTGACCTTAATCCAATAGAAATTGTTTGGGGACTTATGAAGGAAAGTGTCAATAAGAAAAATCTGACAAATATTGCTCAAATGAAAGAAGAGGTGGTCCGAGATTGGGACAGCATGGACCACGACTTTCTAACTTCTTTGATCAGTAGTATGCCCCGCCGCATTGAAGCCTGTATTGCTGCCCATGGTGACTTGACAAAATACTAACTGTTCACCTGTCTTTGAATCTGGAGTTATGTTCTGCTAATATTCACATTTAATACGTGAGTAATGAGTGAAAAAAATATAAAAAATTACAATCTTTAAATTCTCAACAATTTCTGGTTGTACTATAGTATATTATGGTTTATGTCTTTAGAACGATATAACAACTGGGTGCATATTGTTGGGTGTATAAAACCGGACATCAGTTGGGTTTCTTTAACGCTGCATTCATCGATATATCGATATATTGATAATGTAAATAATGGTGTCTGGACTAGAAAACATTTTGTTTAAATTTTAAACATCTCGATCCACACATTTGGATTCGATCACGTACAAACGACCAAAGCATGACCACTTTGACCACCGATCCATTTAGTGGCCGTCTTTATGTAGGCTAATTCTGCTAGGGACCTGAATGCTGACAGGAACTCTAACGGGTAAACATGTACCATTTACTAAAAGATTTACCAGAGATTTGCCGAGAAGTTGTTTTATCATGACTAGAACATTCAATGCCTCACTAAAGATTTCAGAAATCGTGGTAGACGTGTGTGCAGGACATTTCCAGATTTGACACATCAGTCAGCAATAGATCCTGTATAGTTTCACATGTGACTAATTCAATATGCATTGTGCTTGCTCATATCAGCAGTTGTCTAGGTTCTGCGTGTGTTTATGATAAGTGTCAAAGGTAAGGCAGGAAACGCTCACCTTTTTACGAACACCCGTATTACCATTGTGGTTGTGGAAAGGGATTTTACTTTTACCTACTGCGGGACCGGGTTAGAATAGGTCTTCAGCAGCCCATGCTTGCCGTAAGATGCGGGCTTGGGTGCAGACTGAGACTCGCTGACTATTTCATCGCTTAAAAAAATTATGCTTATGATGCTGGTCACTGGATTGTCTGGTCCAGAGTCGAATATTTAAAGTCCGCCGTAATTGTTGAGTTTGGCGTTATGCAACAAACAAATCCTACTACTTCTGAATTATAAACCCTATTATCTTCTCAGTACCCAGTTTGTATCACGATGATATTATCAGTTCCAAAACTTGTAACTGTCCATACACAGCTCCCGACATCACATAACCACCCATGAATATATCCCCAAATGGCCTAAATGTACTATAAATGCATATTATAACTGCATCGAGTAACATAAGGTTTGTTGGCGTTTGTCCTACATATTTGTGAGTTTTAACAAATACTTGCAAGAAGTAGCAATGTTAAACGGATCCCAAACAACATAACCTGATTGTAAGAAGAGGATGAATGGATCGGTGGCCAGACTTTGTGGCATGCTGATAGCGTGTCTCTGTTCAGACTGTTCCGACAATATATCACTGTTCAGACAACAGAAATTACAGTCCGACGTCATATGCCTGGATTACTCCTCAATGAATACTTTTTCAGGCTTAACCCTG